TGCGAGGAGGGGCATGGCTAACCCTAGGCCTGGGGCACAGAGGTCCTAGTGGGTGTCCCGCCTGGAGATCTCCCTCGGGCAGGCAGCACATTCTGGATTCTGGCTTGGTCCTGGCCCAGCCCTGGCTGTTGTGGCCATCTGGGGAGTGAACCAGTGGATGGAAGTTGGCTCTCCAAGACCTTGACAGAAATTAAATAAATCTTTTAAAAAATAATATCCAGAGGCTAAGAATGAGTTCTTGCAAATTTATATAGAAATCAAACCTTCAATGGAAAATTTGGAGGATAAATTAGAGAGCGAGCGTGGGACCCTGCTGAGGAACACGGGGCGTGGGAGCTGAGAGCGAGCGTAGGACCCTGCTGAGGAACACGGGGCGTGGGACCCTGCTGAGGAACATGGGACGTGGGAGCTGAGAGTGAGTGTGGGACCCTGCTGAGGAACACGGGGCGTGGGAGCTGAGAGCGAGTGTGGGACCCTACTGAGGAACACGGGGCGTGGGACCCTGCTGAGGAACACGGGACGTGGGAGCTGAGAGCGAGTGTGGGACCCTGCTGAGGAACACGGGGCGTGGGAGCTGAGAGCGAGCGTAGGACCCTGCTGAGGAACACGGGACGTGGGAGCTGAGAGCGAGCGTAGGACCCTACTGAGGAACACGGGGCGTGGGACCCTGCTGAGGAACACGGGGCGTGGGAGCTGAGAGCGAGTGTGGGACCCTGCTGAGGAACACGGGGCGTGGGACCCTGCTGAGCTCTGACTGGTTGCCGGCTGTGGTCAGGGAGAGGCTTGTCCTGGGGCAGCTTACTGTGTATTTTGACCCTGCTGAGGACAGAGATAAGTCTTAACACTCCTCACATGGAGAACAGGTACAAAGCGGGCACCTGCCGTTCTGGGGAGAATGAATTGAGAATTCTGTACCCAATGAGAGGTACAGGTGTCTGCAGGTGTGCGCTTACCAGCAGCAGCAGCCACGTCTGCCCCTCCTCGTCTCTGATAGTTAGGGAGCATCAGCGGGTCACCCGGAAGACATGGAGCCCAAGACGCAGGAGCCAGCCATGCACAAGGGGGAAGGCAGATCCCGGGGCTGTGAAGGCACCCAAAGGTGCGAGGCAGACAGTGTCGGGCTGTGGGGCTGCAGGAGGGCTGCCTCAGGCAGCGTGGGGGTGGCACATCAGGCCCAATGAGAAAACTCATCTTCACGTTAGTCACAGGACATTGTGTAGGTCAGCTTGAGCAGTGTTGATGGGAGACACTAAGTATTAACTTAACCAAAACCAGGTTTGTCCTCACACTTTGTGTGTGTGTGTGTGTGTGTGTGTGTGAGAGACGGGCTAAGGGCAGCTGTTCCTCATGTCCCACACTAAGCAGTTTGTGTGTGTGTGAGTGTGTGTGTGAGTGTGTGAGTGTGTGTGTGAGTGTGTGTGTGTGTGAGAGAGAGAGAGAGAGAGACGGGCTGAGGGCAGCTGTTCCTCATGTCCCACACTAAGCAGTTCTGTGTGTGTGTGAGTGTGTGTGTGTGTGTGTGTGTGTGAGAGAGAGAGACGGGCTGAGGGCAGCTGTTCCTCATGTCCCACACTAAGCAGTTTGTGTGTGTGTGAGTGTGTGTGTGAGTGTGTGAGTGTGTGTGTGAGTGTGTGTGTGTGTGAGAGAGAGAGAGAGAGAGACGGGCTGAGGGCAGCTGTTCCTCATGTCCCACACTAAGCAGTTCTGTGTGTGTGTGAGTGTGTGTGTGTGTGTGTGTGTGTGTGTGTGTGTGTGTGTGTGTGTGTGAGAGAGACGGGCTGAGGGCAGCTGTTCCTCATGTCCCACACTAAGCAGTTCTTGTTCTAATTAAAGGCTGGAGACGCGCAGCCTGCATGTGCGATTCAGGAACAGGAGGTAATTAGCACGAGGAGCAGGCTTGCACCTCTGGAACTGGAAGGAACCTGTTTACCTGAAGTGTGTGTGTGCTTAATGAAGAAAGAATGAAACAAACCAAGCAAACTTGAGCACAGGGAGGAAGCTGGAGAGGCAGGGGTCGCCGCCAATGTTCAACAGGTGCTGGGGGCTTCCCTGGGCGGCCGGGGGGCGCTGTGCCCACGCTGTCTGGGGGCTTCCTGGGCGGCTGGGGGGCGCTGTGCCCGTGCTGTCTGGGGGCTTCCTGGCTGGCCGGGGGGCGCTGTTCCCTCTCTGTAGGGGGACCGGGGGCTCATGGGCTCAGGCCGCCATGGCAGAGTGGGCAGATGCTACCCCGGGGTGGCACCTGTGGGGTGACTGTCACAGCGTGCAGGTGGTCCAAGTCCTGGGCTCGCCCCAGCCCTCGGGTGGAGTGTGCAGATATTTAGTGTATGTTCTCTCAGGCTTGCTTTATTAAAGGAAAAATACCTTACAGTCTGTGTTTTTATTGCATGATTGTTTCCACCTGACAATATAAGGCATCTTTCAGTTGCCACAGAAATTGATCTGTAACTCTCCCCAGTGACTTAAGTGCCAAGGAATATTTGTAACTAATTCTTGGAAGGACACAATAGGCATTTCTGAGTCGCTGGGAAGCAGAAGGGTACTATGAGCGTGCCCCTTTCTCCCCTGGGTGGCACATGTGTTTGGTAGTAATCCTCGCTGAGCACGGAGCCGACAAGGCCAGCCCCTGCGAGGCTAGCTGGTGGATGGAAGTGCTAACTTTGGAAACTAGTGTTGTAGTGTGTATCATGGGCCTTAGGGTAGTTTATAGCTTTTTAAACAGAAATTTGATTTGAGAGGTAGAGAAAGAGAGAAAGCCCTCGTCTCAGGTTCACCCCTCAAGTGAGGCTGAGTCGGACCTTCAAGCCAAGTGGCACAAAACCACCTGTGGCCTCCCAGGGTCTTCCCTTAGAAGGGAGCTGGACTCGGGGCCTGAGCTGGGAGTTGGGCGCGGGTGCTCTGGAGGGGGCCACGGCGTCTGGACCGCCAGCCCAGACGCGCTCTCCAGCTTGTCTCTGATGGGAGCCGAGCAGAGGCCACGTCCGCTGTCCAGCTGCAGGGTCCTTTCTTGGCCTCCCTTTCTGACAGTGGGAAGCCGTGTCCTGGCTTGGGACCGTGCCAGGTGCTTCCCTTCCCTGCTTGCCTCCCCTTCCCGCCCTGCTGTCCGATGGAGGCAGCACACTCTGGGTGGCGCTTGGAGGGCTAGCTGCACCCAGCCTGGTCGCTCAGCCAGTGCTCTGCCTAGGTGGCCTCTGTGCAGCTGCTGGCCAGGGCCGGTGAGGGCCACCCTGGGGCTGCTGGCCAGGGCCTGTGATCTTTCTTTCTCTACTTACTTGAAGGGCAGTCACAGTGTGCTGGGGTCTGTGCAGTGGGTGTGGAAGACAGGAAGGTGTGAAGAGAACTGTTCCATTGCAGGCAAGGCTGCAGGAATTTCTTGTTGGTTGGCTAGGCCTGGTGGATGTCTCTGCATCCACCTGAAGGCGTTTCTAATCCCTTGCATGGACACCGCACAGCCCCGCTGAGTTTGTCATCTAGTTAGGCATTGTCTGCCTCTGCGGAGTTGGTCTTTCCTATCAGTGTGAGCCTGGAAGTTGATGCTGGCAAAGGAGCCTTTTACTCTTCATGCCGCCCCTGTCTCGGCTGCCCCCACTGACCATCCTCGGACTTTAGGTTCCCGCCTTTTTGTGGTGCATTTCCTCCCTTAACTGATTCAAGATTCAGTTGTAGAATGAGGATTGTACTAGGAGTGTGTTACTGGTCGATATGCAGTGCCTGTTGAGAACTTCCTGACAGCAGCGTCAGGATGGATGACATCCTGCTTTAAGGTGAAACAAACAAAAGAATTGGAAACACCCACTTGACCATGATGGAAAAAGTCAGCCAGAGCTCGTGAGGACTTCTGTATAAATGAAGCAGACAGCTTCACATTGTCTGTTATGATCCTGGAATTGTAGTGGTCCTTTTCTCTCCTCTTTATGCCTAGTCCACGCACCCGTCTCGAGCTCCGAACTCGGCTCAAGTTGGACTCTGGCAACAGTGCAGCAGGGCAAGGCCAGAACCAGGGGCTGGAGCTCCATTCGGGCCCAGGCGCTCTGGTGTCTTTCATGGCTGGGGAGCATGTGCAGGAGCTGAGTGAGCAGGGACACAGCCGGGACCTCGCCAGGGCTCAGGTCAAGCTGTGGCTGAGCCCACTGCAGCACCGCGTCTGTGCCGGCTCCTTCCAGCTCCTTCCAGCTCCTTCCAGCTCCTTCCGGTCCTTGGAGCGTGCCTGCGTCTCTTGAGATTAACACCAGTACAGATATTATGCTTCAGAAAAAAATCAAACTTTCCCCAGAATATTACATAAATATTCATGCAAATTTTCTTCTATTATCATTTAAGTCATTTCATGTTTATATTCTTATTTTATCTGTCATTGGAGAAGTGAGGTAGAGTAAAGGACAAATTTAAAAGACACAGAATGTCTTTGGTGGAAACTCTGCACTGAAGCCTTAGCATCTAATGGGTGACTTGAGGACCCGGGAGTGAAGTGGTCCTGGATGTGGCTTCATACTATGGAGATTGCAGCTTCGCTGGCGGCCAGAACAGAAACTGACCTGAGACTCGGCTGGCTGTGAGGGTCTCCCAGCATCCATGGGGACCGGGAGAAGTGGGGGTGGGGCAGGGGACAGCCCGTCGCTCTTAGGGGCAGCTCCATTTTGCTGGCCCAGGCTGGCACGCTTGGCACCATCCTCCTCCCCCTCTCACGTCTCGTGGGGATGGTCAGCACAGCCTTGGCACTGCCTCACAAGTGAGTGAAGTGAAAGCTGGTCCCTCCTCAGCTGGCTCCCTCATCGCTCACCGGAGCCCTGGTGTCACCCACTCCTCGGGGCTCCAGAGCCCTAATAGGCCAGCCCGCCGACCCCCTCCCTCCGTGCCCCGTTCACCCTCACAGCAGGTTGGAGGGCCTGCCTGCCCGCCTGCCCACCAGCCCCCTCCCTCCGTGCCCCGTTCACCCTCACAGCAGGTCGGAGGGCCTGCCTGCCCGCCTGCCCGCCTGCCCACCAGCCTGCTAGCCCCCTCCCTCGGTGCCCCATTCACCCTTACAGCAGGTCGGAGGGCCTCCCTGCCCGCCTGCCCAGCCTGCCAGCCCCTTCCCTCAACCCCCGTTGTTCTGTTCTGGCTGCACTGGCCTTGCCACAGCTGAGTCCCTCACACTTCCCTACGACTTGCCATTTGACCTGCTGCAGGTTTTGCTAGCCCCCCTCCACCCCTCCACCCCTCCACCCCCGTGCCCCGCAGTTGGAGCGGAAGGGCTATGTGTGTGGGTGCTGTTGCCTGGCACCTCACGTGGTTAGTGTGTTTATAGGGTGAAAGAAATGAAGTAATGATTGTAGAATGTTACTAACCCAGTCGGCTGTGTTACTAACTTACAGAATGGTTAACTGTATTGGCCTGTTGCCAGTTCCCATGCAGGCGTCCCTTCCCCAAGGGTCTGGGTTCGAGTCCTGGCTCTGGCTCCCTGCCAGTGCACACCTTGGCAGGTAGCAGGGACCACTCAGGCAGTGAGGGTCCTGCTTTGAGTTTTTGGTCCGCAGCGTTGGCCTTGTTGGGCCACACTGTGGGCTGTGATGGGGAGAAGCAGCAGGTAGGAGCACATGCCCACACTCCTGGGCAGCTTAAAGCGGTGACAGCAGTTACAGGATAACAACAACTCAGACAGGGGAGGAGACTGAAGTTAGAATAAGGGGCAGATCACAAGAGAACACCTGCAGGAGTGACGCGCAGGGTCTGTAATGTACATAAACAAGGACTCCACGAATGGAGGGAGCCCCTGAAACGTGGGGCAGAGGGGGCGTCACTGGTCTCCCTGCTGCACCTGCAGGAGCTGGGCTTGGTGCTCTGGCGAAGCAGCTGGCACCTAGATTCCCACGGAAAGCTCCAAGTCCTCAGGCGTCCTGACTCAATCCTTGGATTTCGGTTCTAGAGAAACACCGCACCCTGGACAGCAGGCTGAGAACAGGAGTGGCCAGACTTCCTCAAAGTTATGGTCGCCATCCACGAGCCAGCCTTGGCTGATTGGAGTCATTCACCTTCGGCTTGCATTGAAGCGGGGGCGGGCGTGCACCGGGATTCCTTGTGGCTGAGATTGGAAAGAACAGCGTGTGTGTGGGTCTGAGGCACTGAACGCCCATGCGGTGCCTCTGTAAGATAAAGTGGCTTTCCAAGTGTGTTAGACGTATGTGTGCAAGAGGTGTGGCAAAGCCACTGCTCCCTGCACGCGTGTCAGTGCATCAGTCCTACCTCACAGAGAACCTGGCTAACTGGGCGGCTCCGGCTTCCCGCGGGGAGACTGTAGGTGCAGGGAGCAAAGAGTGGGTACCCAGGCAAGCCCTGGAACCTCTGGGTGGCAGTGACAAGGGGTGTGGGCTTTCAGAGTTAGATGAGTTAGGTTGTTGACATGCTGGCTACTAAGCAAACCCTTGGGCAGGGCCACCTGCAGGAGCTGGGCACTGGGCACTGGGCACTGCCCCTTGCGCTTGCTCCTTGGGAGAGTGAGGAGTTACAGCAGCACAGCCAACTGTGTCTCCTTCCAGAAATCTTGCTGCTAGGATTGTTTTGTATGGAGTTAATGAAATAGGTGTGCCACATGCAAGTGAGTGTGAGACCCTCGGAAGAAGCAGAACCATTACAAGGCTGGGGATTGCTTGAGCGTGACCTGCTGAGATGCCCAGGCACAGTGCGTGGGACAGTGTGTGAGACGAGGCCACCTGAGGCAGCGTGTGTCTGGAGCATGGAGCAGGCCTGCTCAGACACACACTCCTCACATGGGACAGGCTTAGCTATTGATTCTTTATCAGTGTCTTCTAATATTCAACAAGGAGCATGTATTATGCATGTAATAAGATTGTCCAGGAAAGTCTTCTATCTTACATGTTAGAAGTTGGAATAACATTGAACTTGGTGGCAGCTCTTCCTTGGCCCTCATCCTGCGTGGCCCTGGCTGTGCTCTGTCAGAGTCTCCTGGAAAGTGTGCTGTTGTCTCGTTGTGAGAGAGCTCGGAGATCCCGAGAAGTGGGGAGGCAAAGGGAACCAGAGCCAGCGCCACCCACCCTGGGGTTGACCCCCTCAAAGGCTGCTTCCAGCAAGGATGTGGTTAACTGACTCGCCAGGTGCTGGGGCCGCCGACTTCCTGCATGGGTGGCAGCCTGCCTGGGCGTGGCCTCCTCCGGGGCTGCAGGCTGATTGGCCCAATCTTGTGACCGCCTGTTCCCCTCTGAGTCCAGGAAGCAGCTAGGAGCCTGAGTAGCCGGCTGGGCAGTACCACGGTGTCGTGGCCCTGCTCAGACGCGGAAGGACTCGGAGGCAAGATGGTCCTCCAGATGGAAGAGGAGCAGCAGCCAGGTGAGCCCAGCCCCTGGTGGGGACTGTCGGCACGAGCAAGCCATGGGTGTTGGCCATCTGGATCGGAATGGGAGCCGTGGACAGTTGTGCTGGGTTTCAGGGGTCAGAGTTAAGGGGTCACCTAGACTCATTTCCCTCACTACCATGTGGAGTGTGTGTGAGGTTGTGCACCCCACAGAGTGGGTAAGCATCACAGGGCCTGTGGAAGTGGGTGTGGGGTGAGTCAGGTGGCACACCCGCTTTCACGCCACGTCCTCTCTGGACCTGCTGACTCCGGAGGCCCGCCATGGGCGTCTTGTGGAAGGGCACGGCGTCCTCCTTGATGGGTTTGTTTGACAAGCGCTCCGGGGAGGGACGGTGCTGGAGGCAGGGCTCAGGGTCCTGGCCGGGCCCCGTGAACGGTCCTGGGTTTCTTTGGGGAGAGGTACTAAGGGAAAAGACTTGGCTCACGTGTGCGCGCGTGCGTGCTAGAGGTTCAGGGAAAGCTTGGGGCTTCCTTTATCTCCACACCCCTGCTGCACAGGGCAGCCATGAGTACTGGGGACAGCTGCGTGGCTGCTGGATCCCAGGGACCCTGAGCCCGCCCCAGGGGCTGTGTGTCCTGTGAGGCTGCTCTGCGTGTGCAGTGGCGTTCAGTGGCGTCAGACGGGTGCAGTGGGTGTGTGCTGGCTCGTACCAAGGAGTGCAGGGTGGCCTGAGCTTAGGGACGCAGGAGGCTACATTTCAGGATGGATTCCGTGCAAGTTATAGTGAAGTGTGGGGCTCCCTTGGCTCGCTGTGGTGTCTTAGCCCACCTCGGAGGGCAGAGCCCCGCTGATGGGGTCTTTGAGGAGGACTTTGGAAGAAGACACCTGTCCCCACATTGGAACAGGGACGGCAGGGAGAGGCAGGTCAGAGCCAGCTGCCCTCGTGGAAGGTGAGTCCAGGCTAGCTGGGGTTTGTGGTTCCTGGGAGTAGGAGAGGACGGTGTCGGGCACAGCGGGAGCAGCGGGTCTGAGCCTGTGCTGGCTCGGCCCATTCTGGCCCCTGGCTGCCCTGCTGCTGCCCAGCTGCCCACTGCTAGTCTTCCCAGGCAAGCCTGCTTCAGACCCCGGCGGAGGCGTGCCAGCTCAGAGGGCTCCTGTGCTGGCGCCTGTACTCTGCCACAGCGCAGGCCGGGGGTGAGGGGCTTTTTGAGAGCCAAGCCCACCCCCTCACTGGTGTTTTATTGGGGCAGTAGGGAGGGTGATGCTGCCCTTTTCACCACTGCTAGGTTGACTCCTGTGGGTATTTCAGAATAGCATTTAGGCAGATGCGAAAGTGAGGCAACAGGGGGTTTCCTCTGGAGGGCCCCTAAGGTCCCAGAAGGCCGGGTCAGGTGTCCCCAGGCGTGGCTCCCGAGCGGCCTTTGCTCATTCAGCTCCACTCAGCAAAGGGCGAGTGGGGGTTTGGAAAACATTCTCTGACGTCATCAGATCATCTCAGATCCTTAACTCTTTTTTCTTTTTAAACATTTTTGGACCCGGCGCGGTGGCGCAAGTGGTTAAGGTCCTCGCCTAGCACGCTCGGGATCCCATATGGGCGCCGGTTCTAATCCCGGCAGCCCCGCTTCCCTTCCAGCTCCCCCCCTGTGGCCTGGGAAAGCAGTCGAGGACGGCCCAATAAAAAAAAATAATAAAGATTTATTTTTATTATTATTTTTTTTATTGGAAAGGTGGATATACAGAGAGGAGAGACAGAGAGGAAGATCTTCCGTCCGATGATTCACTCCCCAAGTGAGCGCAACAGGCCGATACTATGCCAATCCGAAGCCAGGAGCCTCTTCTGGGTCTCCCACGCGGGTGCAGGGTCCCAAAGCTTTGGGCCGTCCTCCACTGCTTTCCCAGGCCACAGGCAGGGAGGGCCGCCGGGACAGAACCGGCGCCCACATGGGTTCCCCGGCGTGCAAAGCGAGGACCTTTAACCACTGCGCCACCGCGCCGGGCCCGAGATCCTTAACTCTTAATTGAACGTGTTGCTTGTTGCCTCCCTTGGTGTCTGGCGCATGCACGGTCATGTTTTATTTTAGTCTCATGCACATTATGTGAGAGTTAAATGGAGTAGACGACCGGCACTGTTTGCTGAAGTAACAGACACAGTTGATGATACGATTCGATGGGCTCCGGGATCTCTCTTACTCCCTGCCCAAATCCCTCCCCCCCATCGACTTCCCATATATTATAACAGTATAGTCCTTGTGCAGTTGTAAGTCTGTCATTCTGCTATTTAAGTGTGTCCTGACATTACTAATGCGGACAACGGCAGACAGTCTAACATCCTGTTGTCAGGATTCGGAGTCCGTGTTTCTCTGGAGGTAGAGATGCTTCCTGCATGTATCCTCACGTCTGGAAGGGACAGTCTCCATGACACAGTTACTGTACTTCCCCTTCAATGAAAACCGGGTTCTTTCACTCTCACACCTGCTCTTTTTGCCATGGTTTGCTGACTGTCCAGTGTGGCCCTTACCAAGCCAACCCTGGTACTAGCCCACTCCGGAGTGCCCATCACCGCAGCCGCTGGTACTTCTCAGGCACGTTTCTATGTGCCAGCCCACTCCAGGTTGCCCGTGACCCCAGCCCCCTTCACTTCTCAGGCACCTTTGTGTGTGCCAGTGCCTCTGCTTCTCCCTGTGGGGAACCTTGTCGAGGCTGGGCCCCATGGCTGCTGTGCCCCGACGGAGCAAGGCCTGGAGCTGTCCACGCCCCAAGCCGAGGCTGTACCAGGGCAGGCGTGCAGCAAGTGCTGAGCTGACGTGAAGCTGTGGCCCCGCCAGTGGCCCGGGTGTGAGGTGGATCCCACCACAGCCTCCCGGATCATGCACACATATTGTATCTTGTACCTCCTCTGGAGGGACCAGTGTGTGATCAAGTGTGTGTGTGAAATAGCGTTCTGTGTAGGAGAATGAGCCAGTATTAAGTCTAGCACCACTCGAGTTGGCCGTTGGGTGCACAGGGCGCGCTGGGTGCCGTTGGTGCTCCCGCTGCCTCTCCTGCCCCTTGCTGCCTGCCAGCCTTGTGCCTCGCTAGCCCTGGGCTGGGCGAGCGACCCGGGCCTAGGTGTTAGCAGGAAGGCGTGAGAGATGAGGTGTTTCTGATCCTCATGGAGCAAGTCTGTGTTTTGCAGAATCAGAACCGGTTGCGTCTTTGTTGTTGCTCAGGAGTGTGCTGGGAGTGCCTGGAGAGGCAGCGCGAAGAAGGCTGCTCGGAGGGAGACCCTGTGGGCTGCAATGTCAGACTTCCCGTGGAGAAGGCACGCGCGTGGGCTCGTGCAGGAGTCTGGAACAACCAGTTCCTCTTCTTTTTAAAATGTATTTATTGGGCCTGGCGGTGTGGCCTAGTGGCTAAAATGCTCACCTTGAACACACCAGGATCCCATATGGGTGCCGGTTCTATTCCCGGCAGCCCCACTTCCTATCCAGCTCCCTGCTTGTGGCCTGGGAAGGCAGTCGAGGACGGCCCAAAGCCTGGGGACCCTGTACCTACATGAGAGACCTGAAGGAGGTTCCTGGTTCCCGGCTTCGAATCGGCTCAGCACCGGCTGTTGCGCTCACTTGGGGAGTGAATCATCGGACGGAAGATCTTCCTCTCTGTCTCTCCTCCTCTCTGTATATCTGAGAGAGCTTCATCCTGGCTCTCGCGGGGCACTGGGGCCTGAGCAATGGGCCGCCTTCTGCTGCTGCCAGTCTGCTAGCAGGGAGCTGGGTCTGAAGTGGAGCAGCTGGCACACAAGCTGGCCCCTGTAGGGATGTTTGCGTTCCTGGTGGAGCTGTGCCCTCTTCCGCCAGCGCTGGCCCTGGTGAGGCAGCAGAACCTTGGGTTCAGTCAGCACCTGTTGGCTGAAGCTTTCTCTGCTCTTCCAGATGCCACTGTTGTTGTGTCTTTTTTTTTTTTTCCCTAAATTTATTTAAGAGGGAGAGAGAGAGAAGAGAGAGGCCTCTGTGTGCTGGTTCACTCCCCACATGGCTGCAGTGAAGGGGCTGGGCCAGGCTGGAGCCAGGCGAGCCTCTGCGCGGTTACAGGGACCCACGAGCCTGGCCCTTCACTGCTGCTTCAGGCACATGAACTGAAGTGGGGCAGCAGGGTCTCCACTGGTGCTCTCCCGGTGGCGGCTTAACTCACTCTTACCACCACACTGGCCTTCCCGTTGGTTTTTGATTGTGGAACATCCAAGTGCAAGCCTGTCTATGGATGTGGTTAGGGTTTGAAAGGTGACCAGTAGAATTCTCTAGAAGCAGTATTATTAGAACAGACAGTATTACAGGTTCTAGCAGTCCAGGTGTGGGTGTTAGGGCTCTAGGGGGGCCTGCAGAGTAACCCCCTGAGGTGGGGCAGGAGCAGCCCCGGGCACAGGAGATGCTCCAGTTCCCTGAGGCTTGGGAAGTCAAAGGTGGGAGCATCGTGTCCGTCCCCTCTCCTTTAGGTCCTGCCTGCCATCCTAAAGCCGGCTGCTGGCACTCACAGTGTCTGTGTGGCCCCTGCTCTGGGTTCCCCCTGCAGCCCCGCTGAGATCACCGTCTCAGAAACACCCCTGCGGCCTCTTCACTTCCTGGAGAACCGCAGCTTTGGGAAGGTCCTGCTGGGTGGAGCTGTGGGGGCAGTGTGCTCACTGTGAGGGCCGGCAAGGGCATCAGTTTTGCTGCAGTGCAGCCGGGTCAGCTCCCAGGGAACAGCCGTTGCTGGGGCCTGCGTTTTGGTGTAGTGGGCCACACTGCTGCGCGGGATCCTCGTCCACAGTGCAGGTCTGAGTCCCATCTGCCATGTTAGTGTGCCTGGGAAGGCAGCAGGCCCTGCGGTCCATGGGGGATACCAGCTGGGGTTTCTGTCTCCTGGCTTGGTCCTGCTCCAGCCCAGTTAGTTGTGGCCTGTCCAGGGGCATCAGTTAACGGGAGGTCAGTCTCTCTCCTCTGACTACAAGAGCAAGTGGGTTAAGCCTCTGTCACCACATTCCTTGTGAGCACTGATTGCAGTCCTGGCTGCTCCACT